CATCAACCCCGCTCATTTGGTGGGTGGTTGCTGTGCAAGGGTGGGATCGGAGATGGGTGAGAGAGGGCCTGTTGAGAGGGGCCCATGCAGCAGGATGTTCGCAGCCCTGCAGGATGGTGGGGGGGAGATGGGGCAAGCTCGAGTGCTGTCGCCCCGAGGTCTGTGCCTGGCAGGGGGTGTGGCCCGCCGCCCCCCTGGGCGCGCTGTCTGTTGATCTTCTTCTTCCGCTGTCGCCTTGGAGCCAACAGAGGGCCAGGGCGGCACCCAGCGCCGGGCCCGTGTCTGCTCACGGCGCAGCGTGCTGACAGCCCGCCCTGTGAAGGCGCACTCGGCTCTCCAGCAATCCATCGACCCCGCCAACCACCCCACCCCGCAACTCGCACCAACCCTGCGTCTCCACCCATGATCTGCACCGCCCCCCTGCCAACCCGTGCAACCCCTACCCATGCACCCGCTCTCGCCCCCAGCTATATCATTGCGATATTTTCGCCAGCCCTGTGCAAGGTCCCCGGGTACGCGCCTGTGCGCTTCCTGCCGCCCCCCGGCACAACCGCCGCCGCTGAGGGCCCGGAGGCTGGCGCCGCCGCTGGCACCACCGCCGCCGGCGCCGCCGGCCCCGCGGACGCAGCCCCGCTTGCCGGCAGCGAGCCGGTCGCTACGGCTGCGGCGGAGGCGGCAGCGGCGGCGCGGAGCGCGGGGCGCGGGAAGGGACCGCGGCAGCCGAGCTTGGAGGAGGTGGGGCGCTCGCCGGCTGCGACTGCGGAGGGGGCGGACGGCGGCGCGACGCATGCGTCGGTGGCGGCGGCTGACGCAGCTGCAGCGGGATTGGAAAAGCCGGGCAGCGGCGGCGGTGGCCCTGCCAGTAGCGACTCAGGGCAGACGAGGCCGGATGGGGGTGCGGGCACCGGGGCAGCCAGCGACGCCAGCACAGAGCAGTCTCAGCAGAGTGAAAAGGGCGGCGATGACGGCTTGACAGATAGGGTTGAGCTGTGATTATTGGTAATAGTTTGGTGATCATTTAGTAATGTTTTGGTTGTTGATGTCGTTGATGTAATACTTCGTCTTAAATACTAAACAAATTTGGAAGTTTTGTTGACACAACGCACAATGGCGGTGAAATCTTCAGTAAAGTCTTTCTTCGCTTGGGGGCGACAGCACGGCGATTGCATCCTCGGCCTAGCCATCACCATGCTGGTCGGCACCACACCACTGACACTGTATGTTCGTCATCTTACAAAGGAGCTGGAACAGGAGCGCGAGCTGCGCGTGAGGGATTTGGCACAGGAGCGCGAGCGGCGTGAGAAGGAGCTGGCACAGCAGCGCGAGTGGCGTGAAAGGGAGCTGGCACAGGAGCGCGAACTGTATGAGAGGGGTCTGGCACAGGTGCGCGAGCTGCGTGAGAGGCAGATGGCACACACGCGCCAGCAGCGCGTGGAGCTGCAGCAGCGCACGGACCTACTGGTGGAAGATAAGCGCCAGCTGCGCGACACGGACCTTGCCAAGGAGCGCCAGGAGCTCGACAGGGATATGAAACAGTTGCGCCAGGAGCGCGACACAGATATGGAACAGTTGCGCCAGGAGCGCGACAGCGATGTGGCACAGTTGCGCCAGCAGCGCGAGGAGCAGCGCGTGGAGCTGCAGCAGCGCGCAGACCTGGTGGTGAAAAGCCTGCTCTTTGTTGTGCTCCGCCATCCTGATTATGAGGCGGCGGCGCGCTTACTGCGGGACAGCCAGGGGGGGCCCACGCGTCCCTCCACAGACTAGACAGTGGGCAGGTGCTTGATTCTCTTTGTGCGGGCGACCGCGGGACGCTGTAATCCTAATCCTGATCCTAATCCTCGGTGCCGACTGCAGCTGTGCTGCGTAGCTCCTGCCCCTGCAGCGCGAGACTGCTGGCGCCATGGCCTACGTGGCGTGTGGCCACTGGCTGGACGCGGTGTGCTGCGCGCCCCCGCCCGCCAATGGCGTCCTCGAGGTGGGGCGCAACAGCCACACTGATGGGCGCAGCGGCCCGCCGCGTCCAGGCCGAGGTTGCCGCAGGCACAGCACGCCGCGCTTTCGACGAGCCCGCCTTGCGCGTGCGGCCGACAGAGCGTTCTGGGCAGAGTGCACCAGGCTGTGATCCCGGGAGTTGCCTGTCCTCACGCTTGCCAAGAATATGCCCCCTTCGGCAGGCCTGGCGGCGCTGCGTGCTGGCCAGCTGATTGCGTTCCAGGCAGTCCGCAGCGACCCCTTCACATATTGCTAGATCCCTGTCGCTTTTGTCCCCAATTTCGGTTGAATGGTGCGGATGTAGTGCAATTGCAACTGTCGTGCGTCATGCTGCATGGTCGGTGAGACGGCAGATGTTGCTCGCTTTGTCATCGCAAGTCGGGAGCGCCGTGGGCCGCAGGCCACGCGGCCTTTGTTTTGAAGGGTCGAGAGAAGCCATGAAACCACGCGTTGAGAGACTTTCCCGTCCACTGGCGGCCACATGGGAAGGCCATGGTCCAAGGTCACTCGGCAAAGAAATTTGGTGCGAAGGTGAATCCGCGGGAAGGCTACCATACAAAATGTCATCAAATTGTATTGGCAGATACTCCGCCTGCTTGCCTCTGCCTCGCCTGTGCAGTGCCACAAGCTGCCGCTACAGTACGCTACAGTAACGAAGCTCGCAAAACACTCGAACGGACCTGCGGGCTGCACCGCTGCATGATTACAACCCATACGACTATACTGATGTATTTCGCATAGTTGAGCTTGTGTTTTGGTAGAGAGCTGCTTGGTCCGAGTGGCTGTCTGCGCACGTCCGACCACCCTGCGCAAGCTGCTCAACCACAAGCAGCCGCCCAGCATCTCTGGTGGCAAACCAAGCAAGCTAGGTGAGGCCCCCAAAGCTTGAAGGGGTGTGATCTTGACGATCCGCGCCGTCTCAGGTTCGTGATGTCGTGGGTTCCTGTTCAGCCGCCGGTGCTCTGGACTGTGGCGGCGGCGGACAGCTAGCTGTTGTGGCCCATGGGCCTCCCCGCTTCAATCGCGCAGGGGCCCCAGTCTTTATGGCAGACATTCAGCTCAGCTTTCTCTCTCCTGCGGGCCAGGGCAGTAGCGCTCTGACACGCTCACGTCAGCAGCCACCCGTCACCCCCCCCTTTACTCACCCGTCACCCCCCTTCCCGTGAATGACTTCCCCCTCACCCTTCCCGTCCCTTCCTCATCCTCCTTGTCTCCCCCTCAGTCTCACCATGGCCCGCCACCCGACGGCGACCGCTGTCGCCCTGGCGGTGCTGCTGCTCGCCGCGCCGCTAGCCGCCGCCAGTGTTGACGGAGAGCGCACTGGCCGTGAGCTCCAGCAGCTCGGTGGCCTCACTGGTGGCCTGGGTGGCCTGGGTGGCCTCACCAGTGGCCTCACCAACGGCACCGGCGGCAGCCTCTTGGGCGGAGTTCTCAACACAGTTGCTGGCATCCTCAACGCTCTCCTGGGCACCACTTTGGGGGTCACCAATGGGTCCGTCGCCAACCCCGTTGGCGGCCTCCTTGGCGGCCTCCTGGGTGGTTCCTCAGGCGGCCTCCTGGGCGGCCTCCTGGGCGGCACCTCAGGCGGCCTCTTGGGCGGCACCGGTGGCCTCCTGGGCGGCCTCCTTGGTGGCACCAACAGTGGCGGCCTCCTGAGCGGCATCCTTGGCACTGTCACCGGCCTCCTCGGCTCCAACCCTACCGGTCTCCTCAACACCCTCACCGGCCTCACCGGCGGCAGCCTCCTGGGTGGCGTCACCGGCACCTCTGGCGCCACCGGCGGCCTCCTGAGCGGTCTCACGGGCGGCCTCGCTGGCGGTCTTGTTGGTGGTGTCACCGATGTCCTTGGCAACATCCTGTCTGGCTCCACCTCCGGCCTCCTGTCCGGCACTGTTGGCGGCCTCCCCCTGGTCGGCGGCCTCTTCGGCAGCAAGTCTGGCCTGCCCGTCCTCGGCGGCCTGTTCAATAGCACCCAACTGAGCAAGTCTGGCCTGCCTATTGTGGGCAGCCTCCTGGGCAATGTCCCTGTCATCGGTAACGGTGGGCTCCTCACCAGCATTTTGGGCCTCGCCTCCGGCGACCTCCTGGGCGGTGGTGGCCTCAACGCTGTCCTGAACGGCGTCCTGAACAACGCTGTGGGCCCCGTGCTGGAGACTGCGGCCGGCCTCCTGCCCGGCGTGACCAACGCCCTGCCCCTCGTCACCAACATCCTTGGCGGCAACCAGAGCTTCATCCTGGCACCCACTGACGTCTCGTTCATCGGCGGCAAGGGTGCGCTGCTGTCCAGTGTGCTGTCCCTCAACCCCAACGCCCTGCTCTCTGTTGTGGGCATCACCAAGCTCCCCGGCATCGGCAACATCACGATTGGCATCGACGGCAGCTTCCTCTACAACGGGCCCAACCTGAACGGTGAGAGCACAACTACACAAGTGGGTTTTTGCACATTGGATTGGCATGTACAAAATGATATTGACTTGCTTCTCTGGATGTTTCAATAAGAAGCGTCATGCTGCACGGGGCTCTCTACATCGGGGTCCCTTGCCGTGGGTTTGTGCAATCATCACAGTGCACGTCTTGCCACGGCGCTAAAGCGTGGCCCCCTGCGCTGTTTTCCTTCCCGCAGGCTCCACCAGCGTGTGCATACAGGTCACCGACCTGCTGTCCACCGCCCCCATCTGCATCGACCTGATCCGCAACCTGCAAATCCCCGCCGTCGGCGGCATCCTGCCCCTGGTGTTCAGCAACAAGACCGTCATCGACCTCAAGGGCGGCACCAGCTTCACCGGCAACCTGCTCAGCGGCGTGATCTCGCCCAACCTCAACCTGGGTGGCATCCTCAGCGTTGCGGGCCTCGGCCTCCTGCCCGATGTTGGCACCATCAACATTAACAAGGATGGCACCTTCACCTTCAACGGCATCCTGAACGGTGCGCGTTGAGTCCGATAAGAAATAACTTATGGAACAACAAGCTGAAATGGCTGACAGCGTGCCACTGCAAGCTTGTTTCTGGCAGCATCGATGTGCCCTCCTCTGCCTTGCCTTCCAACGTGGCATACTCTTTTTCGAGTCCGACCTTCCACTGACTAGCTGGACCCTTGCTGTTGCACTTGCAGGCACCACCATGTTCTGTGCGGTCGTCACCGACCTGTTGTCGACCCTGCCGCTTTGCCAGACGATCTCCAACCTGCTGCCAGCTCTGCCTGAGATCCCCCTGCCAGTCTGCCTCCCCGGCTGCCTCAACGGCGGTGAGCTGCTACGATAGACCAGCTGGTTTTGCTGCCATTCTGAGCTGGCCGGGTCCCTCAGGTCAATAATGCGGCAAAATTGTGTGTGGCAATCGCTCCCTGCCACACTTGCGCCACACTTGCACGTCTTGGCACCCGCAAAAACCAATGATCATTCACTCCCTCCCAGGTGTCTGCGACGGCCTGTTCAGCTGCAACTGCACTGGCACTGGTTTTACGGACAACATCTGCTCCACACCTGTTGGTAGGTTGCTGACTTGTGGTCAGAATTGAAATGTCTTCATTCTGCTGCTGCGATTTCTTGTGCCTGGGCCTGTCAGACTCCTCAGGGGTTGCTGCAGAACAGGTAGCCAGCCCACACAGAATCAAGTACACAAATGATATCGAAGCCAAACTGATAGCAAATGCATGCTGTGAGGCAATAGGGATGTAAACCCAAGCACACCCAACTCTCAAACCTTTGCATCCATCCCTGCCACACTGCAGTGTGCAACCCCGCTTGCCAGAACGGCGGACGGTGCTCTGACCCCAACACATGCGACTGCGCTGGCACCGGGTTCACTGGCCCTACCTGCACTACGCCTGTTGGTAGGCGGAAGATCAAGTCGTGAGATCAAGTCGTCTTGGGAAACTTGCATGGGATCTGCTTGGTGTTTTGCGTACGTGGCTGTGCCTAGCCCCAAAACGTCTGGCTAAAAAGCTCTGCCCTTCCATTCGCAGTGTGCACCCCCGGGCTGTGCAAGAACGGCGGTGTGTGCGCGTCGAACAACACCTGCAACTGCGACCGCACTGGATTCACTGGCCCAACCTGCACGGGGCCCCCGCCGGGTGAGTGGGCGGGTACTGGTGGGTGGGGCACGATTGGTCCACGAGCAGCTACTGGGTCATTATTGCATAATCTGGCCACCTCCACAATGGTGGGCAGCTTCGCACGGGTGCAGTTATGATTGATTATATTTATTTGACATCCTGGCTGGAGGGAGCCACAGTGCCTCTGATAGTGTTCTGTTCGTATGTATGCCCCCTTCCGGCGCAGTGTGCAACCCCACTTGCCAGAACGGAGGCGCTTGCATCAACACCAACAAGTGCGCCTGCACGCCGGGCTTCGCTGGCCCTGTGTGCAACTCTACTACCACCGTCCGTGAGTGCAGTTCTGGGAATCGGGTTGTTGATGGAGCTGGATCAGAGCAGGTGGCAAATGATTGCCAGAATTCAATCTTTACAAACATGTGTGCTCAATATCAAGGGTGATCTGTACCCTATAGACACCGAGTGCCCCGAAATCTACGCCATCGACACCAAACC